GACATTGACTCACGATTCTTCTGTATCGTTCTCAAATGGATGGTTACTCGGTTCCATTGTGCTATCTGCTCTTGCTTTGACTACTTGGACTTCAGTGTGATTTTGCAATCTGGATTTCTGTGCTTCGTCCATATTCATGTTCCTTGCAATTGAAATTAGAACAAAACAAAAAGAATTCAGCATGAAGTTGATGAAAAAAGAAAAAAGTTGATAGAGCAGCTCCTGAAAGGCTGCATGGGGGAACGCATCCTACTGCGGGGAAGCTACTGCCTTCTTTATGCTACATTTCTTTTTTTCAGGGGCCGTGCCACTCTTCTCTGTAGTGTTCCAATTTTAACCGATGTCACCGGGGATGTTTTCCCTATACTACCTATGCAAAAGGCAAGCACAGAAATAGAGGGAAGTGGGAAATACACACACAGTGTTACACACAAAAAAGGATTATATGTAGTATCCAAATCCTCCTCACACCATCTTCAACCTCTGCAAGCTTTTCCACGAACCCTCAGAATCATTATTCAACAAAATACACGAAGCTCGGAGCTCCAAGGACCCCAAGCCGATAGATGCCGGCAAGATATCCAAGCCCTGGGCTTCATCAGCCAAGGTCTGTGTGTGTCCCTTCCCTATAGCCTTCCTCCGTCCTAGCTGAACTGTCAAGCACCAGTCAGCAGTGTAGATCTGAGCCTTCCAGGACCTTGTCGGGGCCAGCGCCAATCACCATGATCAATTATTGGCTGCCCATGCTCAAGCACCAGTGATGCTGGGCTTCCACCATAGTCAGAAGCTCCAAAATGGGGGTGAGGACACAGTTCGGCTGTCATGAGGACAGCGAAACTCAAGTAACCAATTGTTGGGTGAAAGCTGAAGCAGCGTGGTGGCCTGCACTCCAAGTCGGTGGAAATGCACAATGGCTCAGCTAATATGGTCAGTAAGCAATCATTTTTCCCCTAGGCCCTTCTGAAACTGCTACATACCCAAGACTCAAAGTCCGGTTCAATGAGAAGCTTCTATGGAACTGGCATCGGCCACGTGACATCTGTTATTAAACTAGCAGGTCACATACAGGCGGGTTCCAGTACAGGGGGGTACCAGGGGCAGGAGAAGCTTCAGCCTTAGTCCAAGGGCAATTGCAGCCAAATCCTTGCAAGTATTATTATGAATGTCGCTGCTCAAGGCGCAGTTTCCCATCGTGTCCTTGAACATCTGCCGCAATTTCACAGAGTAGCAGGAATAAAAGAAATATGACAAGAAGGACAGTCTTCACATATCAGTCCCACCACGTACATGCAAACCACCATACAGAGAACTTTTGTAAATTGGTTACGTCCTGCAAGACCTAAGGTTCTTGCACCTCCCTCCAGGTGGTTCCAATCTAAGGGAAGATAGTAAAAAAAGGGTAAGTAGAAGATGATGAAAGTAATGGAAACAGAGTCAAAAAAGGGCAAGTAGAAGATGATGAAAGTTATGGAAACAGGGCAGACAACAAAAGATCTTTCAGACCACAAAGTGGGAACACACACAAGGTTGCGGTTTCGGGTTTGTCACTGAACGATTTCCATGAGTGAAGCATGGTGCTTCTGAAAGAATTTTCATGTCTGCTGTAATGAGTTGTGAAGAATATACAAACACCATGCTGAAAAATTTGCAAGCAACGCAGTCAAAATCCGCACAGAAAAGGCCTAGGGTCGCTGCTTTCCAGAATGAGGGGTTAAGAAAGTCAAATCTCCAGTTCAAGAAGGGCCTCCATGGGTAAATCGGTACCGGGTCAAGAGTCATATTAGGCATCCTGTTCCGTAAATCAGCAGGTTCGCTAGACGAAGCAAGAAGCGGTTGTTGGCCTTAGGGAATTCAAGAGGCAGGCCCAAGTCGGGCAAAGCAGTGAATTAAAAGTGGGATTTATCAGGAGTCAACCGCGGGCACATATCTGATGCACATCAAAGGCTGCTTGAGAGGTTCCAGAAGTTCCCAGGTCCACCGAGCCCAGGCTCACAACGACTGACAGCAAAACCAGGAAATTTCAGCCACACGAGGAGGTGAAGGTGAGGGAGGCCCAGTCCAGTCAACGCCACAAAAGAGCAGCCTGCCCCAGTCCATGGGTTCATTCTGCCTCACGCTGGCGACTGCAGTGCTGCTCCACATAGCGCTGGAGGAGGTGCGGGTAGTTGGCACAGTTATGTTCAGAGAGCGCCAGTTTGGGGAGAGAGAGAGAGAGAGAGAGAGAGAGAGAGAGAGAGAGAGAGAGAGAGAGAGAGAGAGAGAGAGAGAGAGAGAGAGAGAGAGAGAGANGAGAGAGAGAGAGAGAGAGAGAGAGAGAGAGAGAGAGAGAGAGAGAGAGAGAGAGAGAGAGAGAGAGAGAGAGAGAGAGAGAGAGAGAGGGTGATCAAGACCTGTGTGGAGAGAGAAGGTGAGAGGCTTACCTTGCTCCTGGTGTTGATGAGAGAGCAGACCGCTCCTGAAGACCGCTGCACAGAGACTTCATTGGCCCACGCAGCATCCCGTACCCGTGGGAATGCCGATTAGAGAAGGTGGGGGGTGGCCGAGGAATTTGGGTGGGGAAATTGAACTGCCAGGGCGAAACTGGGGTTCTCCCTCCAGTCCCGGGGTTACCTTCGAAGGCTCAAAAATTGAGAAGGGGCAAGGACAAATTCAAAAGACAGGCACTGTAATCACAGTTTGCCTTTTTTAACAACGGCAATCCCGCAAAAAGGCTCATTTCTGCCAAAATGGATAGAAACAACAAAAAAACTAGGCCTAAATTGCCTCAAAGGTGACTCCCCTTTCATCGGGACCAAGGACACAAGAAACAGCCAGGTGCAATGACTTGCTGATTTCTACTGCCGAGACTGACTGCGAGGCTGTATAGTACAACAGTAGGTTAGATTCGTAATTTTTGTTTGGCTGAGGGCTAACCGAGAGACCTACCTGTAAGGAACTTCGTGAGGGACATATCTGTAAATCTGGGAAAATATAGGCCCAGTACTAACCCGAATTCCTACAGCTACCCTAACTGCGTGAAGCACGCCCGGGCTACTCCTAGGACAGACCGGCCCTAAGTGGGCTATGCTGATAAACGGTCCTATAGCCTATAACCGGGTCCGGTAGAGGCCGCGAGGCCGAAACAGCAACGGTACCGGTCAGTCAGTCAGTCTGGTCTAGGTCTAGTGTAGTCTATAGATAGGTTAGCCCCATCGGTTCAGGACTTTTGGCAGTTCATTTCTCGCGAAACAGCGTTGGAGAAGCCAAGCAAGTTGGTGGCGGTGACGGTCTGCAGGCGGCATCCTGAGACCTCGCTGTTGACAGCAGCCATATCCGGCCCAGTCTGAGTCTGCCATAGCTGGGGCATCCTCAGCGCATCTACCCCTGCGTCTGGCCGGGCTACATCGAGGCTCTAGACTGTGTAATCGTGGGTGGTGGCAGCCATAGCTGCCTGGTACTTCGTCAGAGTTGTCCATCGATACTGAAGACTTCATCGCAGGACCTGTTCTTCATCAGGGTGGTTGGCGCTGGCCTCTGGGAGGCCATTCTGATGTGGCGCTACTAACTGGGTGTAGGATAGAGAGTGGGGTGTGAGTTATGAGAGTGGCGAGATACTGGAACAAACTCTGTTACGATAATTGTTTGAGTTGGCTCATCATCAGTGCAATTTCAATTGTTATCCTCGCTGGTTCTTTCTTGTGATTGGTTGTTGGGAGTTTCGTCAGAGAGTGAGAAACACTGTGTGTCTTCTCCCCATCTGTGCATGATTGTCTTCCGCTGCCTATTTTCCCCTGTGTGCAGTTTGGACTCTGTCTCCTCTCTCCCCTTCTCTTGTGCATGTATGGGCATGTATGAGACTGTCTGTGTGTGAGTGGCGATAAAATTCGTCAGACAACCAAGTTCATAACAGTTGGTATCGGAGCGGGATTGGATTTGGAACACTGAGGGTTGAGCGCACTGAGGCATCTTCTTCATCTGGCAATATACTGGCGAGAGTTTCATGGCGATTCATCTTTCCCAGTACTGAGTCAGCAGGGAAGAAGACTTTCAGTGGTGGATTCAGGTGTTTAGTGTTTGCACTGAGCAAGCGCACTGAGCCTGTCAGAGCGCTTGTCAGGAAGTGGCGAGTACAGGGCTAACTCGCCATAGCCAACCCTGAGGGTAGTATTGCGAATTACCCCAAAGTGGCGAATTACCCCTGAGGACATCAGGGAACCCTAAGCGGCATCATCCCTGGATAGCGCTGGCAGAGATTGGCAGTCTGTATCAATCTCCAGGAGAATTAACCCCATATGGGGCTATTTTTAGCATCAGCGGCTACCAGACACTGTGGCGAGATATTTTGGTGTTGGCATACTGGGCGCCACAGGACCAGATACAGTGTATCTGGATAAAGGGAGTGCAGCGCTACAGGATCCTGAGGAGGATCAACAAATTTGGAGCGGTTCTGTGCGTGGGATTGTTAGGAGGGACATCTGGAAGAAATTGGCGAGATAAGGGTATCATCTGCTATAGCCAGATCTTCATCATCACCTGCAAGATTCTCTGAAAGTGAGTCCGTTCCATGCACCTACCTGCATAGCGATCCAGATAGGATTAGATTAGTTAATTATAATGGTCTATTTGTGTATCAGTGACTGGATGTGAAAATCGCAGATTGCATGACAGCAATAGTCATCTCTCCCCTACCTCTCTCTGCTCATTTCTAACCCTCTGTTGACTCTTCTCAATCCAAAATTGTTCTGTGACTGCTTTACTGCATTGCGATTATTCTGGGATGCTCAAATTGTGAATTCTGCACTGGAAAGGTAGTGATACTGTGAATTGCAGTTTGGCACTGAGTCTATTTATAGTCTGTGCTACCTAGGGTCAGTCATAACTTCAATTCTATCCATCAAAATTCAAATCTGTCAGTCCCCAGTGAATCGCAAATTGAAAATAGTCAATACTGCAGAATCGCAGAGTTGGATCTATAGTATTTCAATGGATACAGTGAATACTGTACTTCGCCATACCCTAGGGTATGGCCGCCTGAGTCATCAGGGTCTAAATTGGAGTCTGAGCTAGGTTCTAGGGTGTCTGTCTGAATCGCTTGTGATGGTTGATCTCTCTTGTCTGTACTAACCATGTTCTATCATTCTCACTGACTACTCTTGTTTTCTAGTGGCTCTGGAAATCTAGTGTGTCTCTGGAAGAGTAGTGGAGTGATTCTACTAACTCCAGTGTGGTGCAGGGTCAGTAAAAGGAAATCGTTTGTATGATTTTGCTGGACCTACAGTCTGTCTGACACCTAATCCCAAAGACACCGTTCCAACCCAAACCGCTGACTGCCTATACACCCACCTATTCCGGTGTTGAGATACTGCAGCGATTCCAGGGTGTCTGAAGGAATCTGAGTGTTGTTGCATACTCTGTCTGCTGTTTTATTTTGATTTTATTTTGAAAAAGGAAAAATGTCGGATCAGGGAGCTCAGCAGCAGCCACAGGTGGAAGTGGTGATGAAGGTGGAAGGTGAACAGCCTTCAACCTCCATTCCTCCTCCTCCACCTCTGACTGCACTCAGCAGCAGAAGGAGTTGGAAGAACAACTGCGGCGTCAACAGGAACGCCTTGCAGAACTGGAACGGCAGGAAGCAACTGAGCTAGAAGCTGCAACAGATAATTCCAGAAGGGACTATTTGTTGCAGCAGCTAGACAAGGTGCTCACACATGACCGTTGTGCCCAGGTGACTAAACAACTAGCAGAGACGATCATCCTGGAGCACAAGATCACAGTTCCTATTTTACGAACTGGGATGATCGCTTCGCTCGTTTGGAACATCGGGTTAACGACCTGGCAGATCAGCCGTCTGGATGCAATTCAGAACTTGACTGCTCAGCTGTCAGCCACCAAGCTGATCGCCCCTCAGCTCCCTCTGCTGAAACCCAAACCTTCACCTCCTTCTACACCTCCTTCATCTCCCCTTGGATCTGTGCATTCTTCCTGCACACCATCCCATTCCCAAAAAGCCTCATTTCACTCTACTCTACTCTACTCTACTCTACTCTACTCTACTCTACTATACGACACTCTTATGTACTCTATGACACTCTACGACTCTCGACGACCCTCTACTAAACTCTACGCTACGACACTCTACTCACTCTACTCTACTCTACTCACTCTAGTCTACTCGACGACACTCTACTCTAGCCTACTCTACGACACTCTACGACAATCTACTCTAC